GCAGCCTTCCCTCAGTAAAGGTGATAAAATAAGTGGGCACAGCGTGCCGTGAATGGCTTCAGGATGACTTCCAGAGGTCAGGTGCCCTGCAAGACTCTGTGAAGTCTTAGGTAAAGGAGGAGGAGGCCAGGCGTGGTGGTGCACGCCTGTAATCTCAGCACTGTGGAGGCTGAGGCAAGAGGGTCCTTGTGAGCTTCAGGCCAGCCTGGGCTACAAAGTGAGCTCGGGGCCAGCCTGAACTGTGTGGGGAAACTGTCTCAAAAAAAAAAAAAAAAAAAAGAAAGAAAAAGAAAAAGAAAAAAAAAGTGGAGGAGAAGGGTCTGCCAGGTCAAGGGAGACACCTGCTTTGGGCTTAGCGGGGCAGGAACGGTGAGCCGAGCCGGTAATGAGACCCTGCCTCTCTCCCCAGCTATCACATTGCCTTTGGGCCTGTGGTGGATGGAGACGTAGTCCCCGATGACCCCGAGATCCTCATGCAGCAAGGAGAATTCCTCAACTACGACATGCTCATCGGAGTCAATCAGGGTGAGGGCCTGAAGTTTGTGGAGGACTCAGCGGAGAGTGAGGATGGGGTGTCCGCCAGCGCCTTTGATTTCACTGTCTCCAACTTCGTGGATAACTTGTATGGCTACCCGGAGGGCAAGGATGTGCTGCGGGAGACCATCAAGTTCATGTACACAGACTGGGCTGACCGGGACAACGGCGAGATGCGGCGGAAGACCCTGCTGGCGCTCTTCACGGACCACCAGTGGGTGGCCCCGGCTGTGGCCACTGCCAAGCTGCACGCTGACTACCAGTCCCCCGTCTACTTTTACACTTTCTACCACCACTGCCAGGCTGAGGGCCGGCCAGAGTGGGCAGACGCAGCACATGGGGATGAGCTGCCCTATGTGTTTGGTGTGCCCATGGTGGGCGCCACTGACCTCTTCCCCTGCAACTTCTCTAAGAATGACGTCATGCTCAGCGCAGTGGTCATGACCTACTGGACCAACTTCGCCAAGACTGGGTGAGGGCCAGAGGGACTGGTGGGGCTGGGGGGACCCCTGCAGGCCAGGACACCCTCGCCATCTTTGATTGATCCTCTCTTTCCTTCTCTGTCTCTGTCACATGGCCATCGCTCCTGCAGGGAGGTAATCTCTCTTGACTTCTCTTGCTCAAGTGAGATGGACTCAGACATTAGGGAGCGCCTCTGTCCCGGGGACCGAGCTGAGGGCTGCAGGTTGGGCAGGGTTAGAGAGGTCCCTGTCCTCCAGGGGAGGGCTCCCTCAGTGGCTTTGGTTCGGTGGCTTTCTCTTCCTCCCTGGCCCCATCTCGCACCCGTGCTGTGCTCCTGTCCCACCACTCTGGTGCGCATCTCAGTACGGAAGGGTCTGCGTCTGTCTGTCTGTCTCTGTGTCTGTCGCTTTCCCCTGACATCCACTGTTTCTCCCTGTGTTTACTTCTTGCCCTCCCTGGCCGCTGGCTGCTTTCACCCCGGGTGTTTCTGTTTCTGGCCATCTCCTGTGTCTTGGACTATCTAACTCAGTCTCAGCTTCTGCTTCTTAGTGGGTTTTTTTTTTTCTATCTGTTTCTTTATCCTCATCTCCAGCTGTCTCTGGCAATCTGTCTTCATCTCTTTTTGTCTCATTGGCCCTGTCTCTGGCAATTTTTAAATTGTGTCTGGCAATTCCTGTGTCTTCTTTGCATGTCTGTCTCTCTGTCCCCACTACTTACTCTCTGGCTTTGTTTGTTGTTTGTTTTTGTTTTGTTTTGTTTTCTTGAGACAGGGTCTCCCTGTGCAACCCAGGCTGGCCTCAAACGCTCAGCAGTCTTCCTGCCTCGGCCTTCAAGTGCTGGGCCCGTGGCCAGCCCCGCGCCACCACGCCTAGCGTGTTTGCTGTCTTCTTGTCTGTCTGCGTCATCCCTCTGCCGCTCGGTCGTCCTGTGGAGCCCTGCCTCATTCTTCCTTTCCTTTGCCCTCCTGTGCCCACAGTGACCCCAACCAGCCAGTGCCCCAGGACACCAAGTTCATCCACACCAAGCCCAATCGCTTTGAGGAGGTGGTTTGGAGCAAGTTCAACAGCAAGGAGAAACAGTACCTGCACATTGGCTTGAAGCCACGCGTGCGTGACAACTACCGTGCCAACAAGGTGGCCTTCTGGCTGGAGCTTGTGCCCCACCTGCACAACCTGCACACCGAGCTCTTCACCACCACCACGCGGCTGCCTCCCTACGCCACGCGCTGGCCGCCTCGCCCGCCCCCTGGTGCCCCCGGGACTCGCCGACCCCTGCCACCCGCCACCCTGCCGCCTGAGCCCGAGCCCGAGCCAGGGCCGAGGGCCTATGACCGCTTCCCCGGGGACTCGCGAGACTACTCCACGGAGCTAAGTGTCACTGTGGCCGTGGGTGCCTCCCTCCTGTTCCTCAACATCCTGGCCTTTGCCGCCCTTTACTACAAGCGGGACCGGCGGCAGGAGCTGCGCTGCAGGCGGCTTAGCCCGCCTGGAGGCTCCGGCTCTGGTGTTCCTGGAGGGGGTCCTCTGCTTCCTGCCACTGGCCGCGAGCTGCCACCAGAGGAGGAGTTGGTGTCTTTGCAGCTGAAGCGGGGTGGCGGCGTCGGGGCAGACCCTGCTGAGGCCCTGCGCCCCGCCTGCCCGCCCGACTACACCTTGGCCCTGCGCAGGGCACCGGACGATGTGCCTCTCTTAGCCCCTGGCGCCCTGACCCTGCTGCCCAGTGGCCTGGGGCCGCCTCCTCCACCGCCGCCCCCGTCCCTGCATCCCTTTGGGCCCTTCCCGCCCCCTCCCCCCACTGCTACCAGCCACAACAACACGCTACCCCATCCCCACTCCACCACTCGGGTATAGGGGCGGCCGGGGAGGCGCTCCTCCCCCGCTTTCCCAGCCCGGCCACTCCAGAGGGAGGGAGGAGGACTTGGCACCCGGCTTTCCTCCTGTGGAGTCGTCAGTCAGCGAGGTGGACATGGGATTCCTCACTGGGATGTGTGTTTTCCCATGCAAAGAGGCCCATTCTTTTCTCTGGACCTGGGCCTTCGAACAACTGAGGGGGTATTTTCTGCCCCCCTTTGGGACACCAGTCTTCGGTGTGTGGAAATGTGGAAGTCTCTTCCCACGTGGAGGCGTGCTCTCCTCACAGAGGGGGTGTTTTCCCATGTGCAGGGTGAGGTTTTTTTGGCCGCCCTGGACACATGTTGGCCCCCTCGAATAATTTCTGCGGGGATTTGTACCCCAGAATCCTGTCCCCCCCATGCCTTCTCCCACTTCCTCCCCCTCATCCCCGGAGACCCTGGATGTGATGTGTTCACATACAGTGACCCTTGGCCACCAGACACCCCAGGTGGTCCCTGGGGAACAGCAAGGCAATCACAGGCCCCTGACCCCTGCTCCCCTCCACCCAAGCGAAGCATGTTTCTCCCCCATGGCACAAGTCAGATGAAGCACGTTTCCCCAGGGAGGCTCTCACCTTCCACAGATGACAGATGTAGGTTTCCTGCCAGGGGGACGGGAGGAGATCCGCGCATCCCGGTGCTGCCTGGAGACTTATTTTCCCATGGTCCAGGACACAGTTCTCTGAGTGGAAACATGTTCTTGCATGTGGATGTGTGTTTTCCCAGGCAGAGGGTCCCTGTCCCCAGCACTCCCCTGCATCCCCCAGCTGCAGGCCCAGCACTTAATTCCTCCTCACACAGCAGGTGGGAACAGATTTTGAATTAACAGAAGCTGAGGGGGCATCCAACCCTTGAGGGAGGCCTAGGGTCCTCCCTCCTCCAGAGATGCTGAGTGGGAGTGGAGGGGCGTGGCAAGTGCCACCTGCAGAGGCCATGCATGTTTGACCAAAGCCCTCACGTGGGGCTTGAAGACAGCCTTCCCCTCAGTCCTCAGATCATTGCTCATCCGTGCCAAACTGGGTAGGTGGGTTTGGGTTTGGATGGGGTGGGGAGACTCCGAATGTGCCAAGGATCACCCCGTCCTAGGCCAGGACAGGGTAGATGATGGGGGCGAGTAAGATACTGAGCAGGGGGGTGTGGCAGCGGAGGGACCCCCATCTGTGTCTCTTGTCCTCCTGTCCTCCTTCCCTCTCTGCCTCACTTCCCCACGCACCATCTCTGTCTCCCTCTTTGAAACTGTCCCCATCTCAGGGTCAGACCAACTTTCTCCCCTCCCCTTCTTTGACCTGCCCCTCTTCCCTGGCTGCCAGAGCTCAAGGAAAGGATCAGTGGAAGGAGGGAGGGAGGGAACAGAGAGGTTTCTTGGGCGGCTTGGGAAAGAATGAGGTCAGCTGTGTTGAGGAGCAGATGGGAGAGGCCGTGGGGGACTGGGCTTGGGCGGACATCGGCACGAAGAATTTGAAAAGAAATATGAAGCAAGTATCCAGAGGTCCTTGAACTTGGGGCTCTGGGAAAGGAAGCCGTGGAAGGAGGGTTTTCCATGCTAGTGCCAAGCCAGGGGGTGGGTGCTGTCTTCCATGGACGCCCAGTGCAGAAACCCCGGTCCTAACCCTCAGAACTTTGCCTCTTGGCTGTTCCTTTCTCCACCTCCACCCATGGGAGCGCAGTTCTTTCTGGCCTTTTCCCCTGCTTGGTCTAGCTCCTCTTGGAACAGCCATGCCCTCCAAATGCTAGTGACCTGGGCCCTGAGCCTTATAGACAGATGCCCCCAGAAGAGGGGCTAGGGGACCCCATGATTCAGCCACGGACTCCAGTGCCCAGCCCCTCTTTCCAGAACAATCCCACGTCCCCACCCCAAACCTTTGCGGCTCTGTACACATTTTTAAACCTGGCAAAAGATGAAGAGAATATTGTAAATATAAAAAGTTTAACTGTTGATTGTGCCTGCTGTTATGTTAGGATGTTGGGGGCAACCTTGAAATAAGTCTTGGGAGTTGAAACCTCTGTTTTATAGTAACCAGCTGTGAGGTGTACGATGGAAGGGAAGTGTTGCATAGAAGGGGCAAGACTGCCATAGAAACGGGATCGGAGAGCTAAAGTCAGGGCCCCAGACTGTGCAGGGAACACGATCTGGTGTAGCTCTAGGAGGAGGGGATAGGGACAGATACCAAACAGGCCATCGGGCAGTGACCTGGTCCAGGTGTCAAGCTGCAAGAAAGGAAGGCAAGATACAGGGTTTGGCCCTGGCAAGCCCGTACTCAGGCTGAAGTGCCAACCTGGGCCTAGCACTCTGCGAGTAGCCCCTTGGCACATTGTGAGGGAGAGCCTGAGCATCATTGTGACCCACCCACTCATCCTCAGGAACCTCTGAGTCAGGTAGATGGGCTGGTGGACCCTGGGCACAGTGGGCTGGGGGCCTAAGGGCCCTGGTGGCCCTAGAGACCACCATGGCCGTGGCTGAGCATCCAAAGCCTGAGTGGGCCTTGTATCACAGCCCCCACCCCACCAACACCTGCGAGGATGTGGGCAATTCCATCCTACTGCTGCTAGGCCTCATCATCTGCCTTAACATCGGCATCAATGTGGTGACCCTGGTCAGGGGAGGGCTAGGTGGGAGGGTGCTGATGGGATAGCAGGGGGGGCAAGCGTCACTAGGACCTGCGTGGGTCACCGTGTCCTCCTGTACCTAGCTCTGGATTCGAGTCCGTGTCATCTTACAACAATTGTTCCATAACATTTGTGAGAAAGGTAAGCAGGGCTGGGCTTAGGAGGGACAGAAACCAGGCCCCAGCCCTGACCTGGCCCCTGCTGCTCTCCCCTCTCAGACAGCCTGGTGACGGTGCAGCTTCTCTCCCCAAGGCCGCTTCCCCTCCCTACTGGGAGCCAGGCCATCCCCTCTCAGCCTCTTAGGGTCCCCTCTCCCTGATCCACAGAAATTGCTAAGTCATCCTCACCCAGGAAGCCAACCCATCGGAAGAAGCAGAGCTCAGCAGCAGTCCGTCTTCGATGCACCATGGACCCCGTGAAGATGACTGTGACGCCCCCACCCACCCGTCACCGTCGCCCTCAAGCCTCTCCGTTTTACCGTGCCCACGGCCCCGAGGCTTGGACCCCTGACACCGACGATGAAAAGCCCCCATATCAGAACCCGACAATCTGTTCCCACCACGGGGAAGGCCCCAAGGTATGGGAAGGCTTCCAACCCACCCCAGAGACCTGGGATTCCTGGACTCAGGACAGTCTGGAGCCACCTCCCCATACCATCCGCTTCCAGCCAACTACTGAGAAAAAGCCACTCAAAACAGAGCTCCTGTCCAAGCAGAGCCTAGAGGCCTATGTGTACCCAGTGAACCCTTTGCCTCCCAGTGGGGAGGCCGTGGAGCACAGGAACCCTGGGCCGGGGGCGGAGGCTGAGGCGGCCCAGTGCCAGCCTGCCCCACCACCCTTCCTGGGCCCGGCGGTCATCCCCGATGTTCCCAGGCGACGCTCCTCAGTTCGAATAGTGTACGATGCCCGAGATGTGAGGCGGCGGCTTCGGGAGCTGACCCGGGAGGTGGAGGCCCTGTCCCACTGCTATCCCTTTGTGTCTGGATCCAGCGTGGCCGAGGGGACAGACAAGGACTGGGTATATCGTTCTGTGGCAGGGAGGTGATGGGAAGAAAGTAAACAGGAGAGAGAGAGTTCGTGGTGGCACGTGGGGGTGGAAGGCAGGGCCCACGCAGCACCCCCAAGCCCTGGCTGCTAAGGGAATGGTCTCTCTGGGATAGGACCGAAAGCATAGGGACCCTCATCAGCCTCTTGCCCTCACAGGCCCTTTCCTTGGCTTTTTCCAGTGCCTTCTTGATTCCAAGTTTTCGGCTCCCCTCTTCTCTGTTTTCTGTAGTACCCAGAAAATTCTGCTTCCAAAGCTTGCTCCAGGTCCTCAAATAGTTCCACATGGAAGGAAAGATCCCATCCCCGTGACCCCAACTCCTTACAAATCTGGTCCTGGCCAGACCTCAGGTGTAGGCTACAGCCCTACGGGGACTCCTGGTTCCCTCCCATACACTGGTTTCTTTAGGGTGAGGAGAGGGTCTCTAGTCCCTCACAGTGCCCCTGAGCAAAGCCTAAAGCTTCTGTATCCTATGCAGGCTTGAAGCAGAAGGCAAAAACACATACTGGAAACACTTTTAAGAGGTGCCTGAGTACACCACCACATCCCTCTGTGGCCCTGTTCTTATTGAGACTGAGGTTCAATAGGGCCAGGGATTCAGCTCAGCTGTGTAAGCGCCTGCCTGGCAAGCTCAAGGTCATGAGTTTGATCCCCATTACCAAAGAAAGAAAGATTGAGGTTCTGTTGGTTTTTTTTTTTTTTTTTTTGTCTTTTTCATTTTTTTTTTTTTTTTTTGTCTTTTTCCTTTTTTATCGGTACCGGGGATCGAACTCACGACTGCCTGCTTGCAAGGCAGGTGCTTATGCCGCTGAGCTAAATCCCCAGTCCCTTCTAGTAACCTTATAAAGTACAAACTGACATAGTCTCCATTTTACAGATCAAAAACAGGTAAAAGAAGATTAAATTATTTTTTGGGGGTGGGTTGTCTTTTTCCTTTTTATCGGTATCGGGGATCGAACTCACGACTGCCTGCTTGCAAGGCAGGTGCTTATGCCACTGAGCTAAATCCCCAGCCCCAGGGTTGAGGTTCAAAAACACCAAATGACTTGCTCTGGGCACACAGGTGCCAGGGATCTAGTTCACGGTCTCCAGGGTTTAATTCCTCTGCTCCTCCGAGTGGATACATTCCCTTGGCACCAAGTCAGACTAGCCGACTAGTGTCTCTAACCTGCTTCAGTTTACCAATGATTCCCTCAGAATATTCTGTCTGCTAGGCAGCAAGGAAACGTGGGCCCTCTGTACTCTGGGAGGTTAGGATCATACGCACGTGCACATGTAGAGTTTGGGAACAGAGTCCTATGAGTGAGACCAGACCCTTATCTCCCGTGCTAGACGGGTTCTGGGTATGTGAGATTTCTGTCAATTGTCCTAAGTAGGACATTTACATCCAACTAATGCCATGGATAATTCTAACTGGTTCCATTCAGTGGGTACATACTAAGCTTCTACTAGGTGTGTGAAGGCCTTGATGGCATTTCTGAGCAGTTTACTGTGTAATGAATTACTGGCCATCCTCAGAGAGTGCCCTTTCACACACTCCAGTGACACACACACCTAGTCTACATGGAAAACTCCTGTCACGTCAGTAATTACATCCATTTTGCTGAGTATCGTGGTGCACACCTGTAATCTTGCTACTCGGGAGGCTCAGGCAAGAGGATTGCCATAAATCTGAGGCCAGCCTGGGCCACATAGCTAGACTATGTCTCTCTCTTTTTTTTAATCCGTACTGGGCATCGAACTCACGACCGTGCGCTTCCAAGGCAGGTGCTTATGCCACTGAGCTAAATCCCCCAGACTATGTCTCAAGAGAAAAAAAACAAATAAATAAACTATACCTATTTTATGCTGTTAATTTCGTGTGGTTTTCTGGGGTTTTTTTATTTTTTATTCTTTTGGAGCTGGGGACCAAATTCACGACCTCACACTTGCCAGGCAGACACTTGTGGTGATGTGCCATCTCCTGGCTCGTGTGGTTTTCTTAAGAAAGATGGCACCTACCAGGATTTAACTTGGAGTAGGTGAGACAGTGAGAGGACGGTTGGCGTGGAAGGAGAGAAGCCAGAGCTTGGGTCTATCCCTGTCGAGGGCAGCAACCTCAGGAAGATGGGACCCACTTGCCCGAAGCTCAGAGGCCTGGCTCAGAGGCCTCCAGTGCTCAGGGTTTCAATCCCTGGCCGGAAGGTTGGACAAGGATTCGTGCTACAGGAATAATGACAGGAAAATAGGATAAGAAGGAACTAGTGCGGCAGGATAACCCCAGAGGGAACACTCGCTCTTACCCATCATCCTGTCACCTCAGCTGCCGGACCTACACTAGGCGTGGGATGGGTGCACCAGCAGGCTACACGGGTTGCGTTATGTCTTCAAGAGCAATGAAGAGCCAGGTGTTCTGGTGCACGCCTGTAATTCCAGCTCTCCCGGAGGCTGATGCAGGAAGATTGTAGATTGAAGCCCAGCAACTTAATGAGACCCTGTCTCAAAAAAGCAGGGCTGGAGTCAGGTGTGGTGGCACTCAGGAGGCTGAGGCAGGATGCTTGCTATGACATCAAGGCCGGCCTGGTTCTACATAGTGAGATCTTGTCTCAGAATACCACAGATGGCAGGGGAGGTGGGGGGCTGTAGCTCAGCATGAAGGTCCTGGGTTCAATTCTCGGCACTTAAAAAAAGGAGAGAGAGAGAGCAATGAAATGAAGAAAATCCTTTATGCTTGATTCAAACTCGTGAAGACTGCCTCAGGACTAAAACTACCATATTTTCAGAGCAGGAACCAGGTGTGGGGCTAAGCAAGCCTCACAGAGAAGAGGAGACTAAACTCGGGGACATCTGGGGCCTGGGGACCATGTGTGGGAGATAAAGGTGGAGACCGCTGCGTGAAGGTAGACAAGGAGCTGCCACCCTATATTGTGACTCCCTCTAACTCGCCTCATTATGACCTTTCTCCCTGCCAGGTTGGTAGATATCTCCAGGGACGGCATGAGTACAGTGTGGATTGGGTTGGGGGGGGGCCAGGCGGGCCTAGGACCCCCCCCCCATGGAAAACCAGCCCTGGCGGGACACCTTGGGGTGCTGCAGTCAACACCAAGAAAACCCCCAGGACCCCGAGGACATCTTATTCCTGCTGCTGGGTCTCATCATTCTTGTCAACATTAGCATTAACATGGCAACTGTGGTCAGTGATGGTTCTAAAGCGCCCTTGGGGGGCGAGGAGGGTTGGGGGGAGTCAGCCGCAGTTATGTTGCCACCTGAAGGGACGGTCTTGACTGGGGCAGTGCGGGTGGTGGCACTGGGGTGGGGGCGTGGCCTTCACTGCCATCCCTCCCACCACCCCCAGATGTGGCATGGGCTCCAGAATGCCTTAGACAAGACGATCTATTGGATTAACCAGAAAAGTAAGTATGGCAGCTAGAACATAGGGTTCGCCACCACCCCTATGCCCACTACCACCCCACCACTGTGGTCCCAGAAACTGTCCAGCATTGCCATGTGATCTCTTCTGGCAATGGCTCTGACCTCCCAGACTCTAACCTCCCCCAGGTGAAGTCTGGGCTAGCGACTGTTCCGCCAAAGATCCTCCAGCCAAGGCCCAGGATATCCACGTCCACTGCACCCTGGACCCTGTACAGGTGAAGATGGCCCCGCCCACACACTCCTCCGCTTCCTCCGGTCAGTACCCTTTCAACTGCCACCGCCGCCGCCGCTACCAGCCCAGGCCACGGAACCACAAACAATTCCCCAGGGGCTTCCGAATCGGTCACAACCAACCTTACGGCTGCAAGACCTTAAAGCCACGGCCAGTGCCCTTCTATGACCTGGAAGACCAGGACCCCTACGTGGAGGAGTTGGAAGACTCGCCTTTCCCAGTGCTCAAGTACCCACACCATCGGGGGAGGGGTGGGCTCTATCAGCGAAAGGATGTGCCCTCCATTGTGGGCCTGTGGGGCCGCCAGGGCGGGATTCTGGCCAGCCTGCCACCGCCCTCTCTCTACTTGTCCCCGGAGCTGCGTCGCCTGCCCAGGCGGGTCCAGGCCAGGTCGGAGCTGAGGCTGCAGGCCTACGGGCCCCAAGGCTCGCAGTCCCGCACATGCGGCACTGCGGAGGCCAAGCAGTGTACCCCGTCTCCACTACCTCCCCGCCGGCCGCCCCCTAACTCCTCCTGGGTCCCTGGCAGGCAGGGCTCTTACTCCTCAAGGGGCCATGTACTGTGTGACACCTGGGATCAGCGGCAGCGTGGTGTGGAGAGCTCTGAGCCGCCTCCACCCTTGATGTCCCGAAGTGGCCGGCCAGAGGCCCAGGCCCACCAGGAGCACTGCTCGGCACAGTCCCAGGGACGGAGCCACCTTGGCCACGCTCACAGCCAGGCCAACCGCAGCCCATATCCATCCACGGGACACGTAGGCTTTGGCTCCCGGGATGCCCATGACATACGGCGCCGGGCAGCTGACTGGGCCGAAGCTTTGCCGGCTCGGCACCCTCTGACCACCTCCACCTCCCTCACCGTGTTGGGCGAAGTCTCCCACCATCGAGCCCCGGCTGCCAGCTCAGCCTTGCTTCCGCCCTCCTCCCAGCTCCTGCCTGAAGCTGACCAGGCTGTGGATCCTACCCCACCCTCAACTAACTTTGTCCCACTTAGACGGAACCCAGGGGGCAATGCCAGTTCCCAGGTGTACGACAGCCTGGAGCTGAAGCGGCAGGTGCAGGAGAGCAGAATACGAGCCAGCTCCCTGCCACCACCTTGCACCTTGACCTCCAGGCCTTCTCTGCACAAGAACCGGACTGGGAAATTTAACTGACCAGCAGGTCAAAGTGTGGCAGGACAAGATATGGAGAAATAAAATTAAAAAAAAAAAAAGGAGGTCTTTGGTATAGAAGCATTCCCCTCGCCTTCTGCAAGCCTAGAGCCCTGCCCTTGAGTTCCTGAGACGAGACATCAGTGTCCCCTTCTTGCTACGAGGCTTCCCTTGACTCAGAGGCAATGGCCCTGCCTGTAAGCCCTGGTCCTGTGTCATGCACTAAAGCCCTGTAGCTGCACACTCCAAACTGCAGGCCTCTTGTTCTGTGCGCCCATTGGGTGTCTCTGCCCTCCCTGTCCCAAAGGAGCCCAGCAGTCCAGCCCTGCTCATGAAACTGAGGACAGCACTTAGGAGGCTGAGGCAGGAGGATTGCCATGAGTTCAAAGCCAACCCTAGGTACATAATGAAATCAAGGCCAGCCTGAAGTGTATAGCAAGACCTTGTCTCTAAAGACAAAACAGATACAGAAAAAGACAGAGAGAGAGAGGGAAGGAAGAAGAGAGAGAGAGGGAGAAACTACGGACAGAATCGAGACCTGGGGGTTTCATTTCTAGGCAGATCAAAGCCTGTGGCCCAGTGTGGGCCAGAAAGTTAGCCAGGCTCTAGATCCCATCCAGGGCACTGTGGCCAAGGTCCAAGGTCTTCCCAGTCTTAGGGGTGAAGGGCTTGGGATTCTCAGCTGAGACTGAAGGAAGAATGGAATGAAGGAGTGTTTGAGCTCAGTCAGCACAGCGGGGGAATGACTGGGGAAGAAGGGAGGGGTGCTGGCCTCCAGCTCAGGGCATCCGGGCTTGGCTAACACAGAACTCTGTTCTGTGCCCTCATCTTCTCCAATCTCCCTCATTGTGATCCCCACCGCCTGCCCCATTATGACTCAGTTTTCCCCTCCCCCTTCAGGGGGAGTTTGTCTCCTAGTGAGTATGTGGGGGCTAAGGGACTCCAGGTACTCCTAGGACCCCAGGCCATGGGTGAGCAAGCCTACTATGGAGCCCATGTATGTATGCTCCGGAACCAACCCCAGGAAATGCCAGGATTTAGGAGACTCGATTCTTCTGCTGCTGGGCAGCTTCATCTTGCTCAACGTGGGACTCAATGTGGTGACTCTGGTCAGGGCAGGGCGTGAGCAGCAGGATTGGGAGATTCGGGGGGTCCTGCAGGGGCTAAGTGGGAGGGCTGCCGGGATCTGGTTGCAGTCAGAGCTTACTATGCTTTGGGACTCTCCTCCCCCTGCTTCCTTCAGCTCTGGAGAAATCTGAAGGGCTCCTTGAGGATTCTTGTCCGTCATTTTTTCTGTCAAGGTGAGTGAGCCCTGGCAGGGGCTCCCGGGTCTGTGGGCTGTCTCCTTCCTTTTCTCCTTGTCCCTGCTCTCAGGCACCCAAGCCTCCTCTCGTACTCCTCTCCCTGCAGACAAGGAGCCCAGCAGGCCTGCAGGCACGCACTGCACTGCGGATCCCAAGGCCCTGTGCTCAAGAGTCTCTTCCCGCGTCCATTGTCACACCAGCAACCTGCTCAGGCGCACTAACCACCGTGACTCCTGGATACCAGACGGCGAAAAGGCTTCGAGATGCTGCAGGATGCCACCTCAATGTGGACAAGCCAGGGTTCCTTCAGAGGCTCCAGGGAGACTGGGGAAGGAGGGAGCTGGGGAAGCCCCTCAGGTCACAGCCTTGAAGGACCGTGCCTCCTTGCTCTCCAGGACAGAGAATTCCTCCCAGGTCCGGAAGATGAACAAGCTGAACATGGTTTCACTCTCTTTGCCCCAAGAGAGCAAGACTAAGGCCCCAGATCATGGCCTGACCCGTGCTGCTCCTAAGGCCAAGTCCTACCCTTCAGCCCATACCTCAACAGTCCACATTCCACCCCCTATGCCACCCCCCACCCCAGAGCCTATACCAACCCACGTCTTACCCCCTGCCCCACCCCCCAGTCCTATCCATGCCTCTACCTCAGCCCCTACCCTGGCTGACAGCCAAGCCCAGGCCCCAGACCTAGCTCCTGCCCCAATCTGTGCCTCAACCCCTACTCCAGCCCCGGCCCCAGCCCCTGAGCACACCCCTGAGCAGTCCCTGCCCCACAATTGTGAGAACATCCCAGCCCACACCACACCACAGGTGGGTTGGGATGAGACCCTTACCTCAGCCCACTCCAAGGGCCATGACCCAGTTCACACTTCAACACAGGCCTGTACCCACACCCAGGGCCACATCCCCAAGCACACATCAGCCCCAAATTCAGGACACTCTCTAGCCGGTTCTCACCTGACCCATTCCTGTGCCCATGCTTCAGTTCCCGCCCCATCCTCCACCCTGGCCCCTCCCCCAACTTTTGTCCCAGCCCCTCCGAACATCTCCCACATTCAAGCCCCTGTCCCCGGGTGTCCCTTGACCTCCACTCCAGCAGGGACTGTCCCTGCCACCACCTCTACTTCTGTCATAACTCTTATTCCTCCTCCTCTGGCTGCCTTCAGCCCCAGCTACTCCACTGGCCATGTGGTCTATGATGCCCGCAGAGTAAAGCAGAACATCTTGCATAAGTGCAATGCCCAGAACTCTGGATATTCCAGAAGAGACTTGGGTACCCTCCCCAAGCCCCAAGAGAGGCACATTCCGGTGAGTCCTAGTATATCTGAGCAGACTTCAAAGCAAAACATGGCGGAAAGTGCGGAGCCTTCTGTAGAATCTATAGCGGGCTACCTAGAGTTGGGGAATATGGAGTGGAAGGCTTCAGAAGACACCAAAGAGAAACTCTGGCAGACTAAGACCTTCCCTTACTATAGCTTCCATCCTTGCAATTCTGAGAGGAAAAACACAAGCTCTAAGGCGTCAGTGTACCCTAAATTCCTGATCTATACACAGGACGCTGCCCCTTCTACACACTGCTTGCACTCTCCAGCCACTGCCCAGAGCTCACTGCCCACACCTACTCCGTCATGTACTCTCTCTCTGCCCCTTGTTTCTCCCAAGGCCTTCGTCCTAACTCAGTCCACCAATCACCAAAAGCCCTCCAATGTAACACAACCGCCCTCCTTTCTTCCAACCACCAAATCATCTCAATCGGTCCCCTCTTCCCATATCCCCAACCCTCCCCAGCTCTCCGCCATTTTCCAGTCCTTGATCCAACCCCAACGCCCTGAACTTGGTGATAATCAAGATCTAACTCAATATGCTGACCTCCAAATGACTCCATGCCTTTCAAAAGACTTGAGAGTTTCCAGGAACCCAAGCCCTACCCAACACCCAGGCCTCAACAAGAACATAAGCCTTACACAAGATCCAGGCCTCTACAAGAATCCACATCTCGCTCAAAATCTAGGGCTCCAAAAGTTCCCAGGCCTTTCTCAAGACCCGGAACACTGCAAAAACCTGAGCCCTTCCCAAGACACTGGTCTTCACAAGAATCCAAGCACTGGCTCCCAAAAGAGCCCAGGTCCTTCTCAAAATGCTAGTGTTATTAGGATCCCATGTCTTACCCAACCCTCTGGACTCCAGAACAACACCCTATTTACCCAAACTTCCAACCTTCAGAAAACTTCAGACTTTATACAAGACTCTGGAGTCAGTAGGAATGCTCAACTTATCCAAGACACTGTGGCCAACAAAAGTCAAGGCCTCTCCCAAGTAACTGATCTCCAAAAGGGGCCAGGCCCTTGTCAAGATTCTGGAGGTAACAAGAATACAGGCAATATCCAAGATCCAGGAGCCCATGGGAGCATAGGCTTTATGCAAGAGTCTAGAACACAAAAGAATCCACCATGTCCCATCCAAAACACTGAAGTCAACAAAAATTCAGGACTTATCCAGGAATCTGGAAACTGCAGGAATCCAGACCTTGTCCAAACCTCTGGCCTCCATAAAGTCTCAGGCCTCACACAAGACTCAGGAGACTGTAAGAATTTAAGCCATACTGGAGTCAACAGAATCCCAGGTTTTATCCAAAATTCTGATTGCCACATGAGTACAACTGTTCCCCAAGCCACTGAAGTAGAAAAAGCCAATTTAACCCAAGATGTTGGAGCTTTCAGGAGCACAGAACATGGCCAAGATTCTAACCTCCACAAGTGCTCAGGAATTCGTCAAGATCCTGGCCCTCACAAGGATCTAGCAGTTGGCCAAAACTCTAGCCTCCCCAAGATTCCAGGCCTTTCTGAGAAATTTGGCCTTCACAAAGATGCATGTCACATCCCAGATCCTGGCCTCCATGAGAATCCAAGCCTTGCTATAGGTACTGGTTCTGTCCAAGTCTTGGATCTGCACCCAACTCCACAGCCAACACCGTGTCTGATGAAATGTGAGACCACTCTTGAGAAAGTGAGTGCCGAGCATCATGTATCCTGGGCTTCTGTCCCAAACAACCAAAACTCCTGCCCCGCCAAGGCCCAGCTCATCTCCACAGACCTGCAGACCTTCTCCGAGGTACCTGTACTAATTGAGCTGCAGCCGTCCTCCCAGCAGGCAGGCAGCCAAGATTGGGTATACCACCCCGTGGACACAGTTCCGTCACCCTGCCAGAACTATCACCAGGTGTCTGTGCCTCCCAGAGTCAACTGGAGGCCCCACTGCCCTGGACCAGGGACCAGGACAGGGCATGTAGTCTTTGATGCTAGAAAGAGACATTTAGCAGTGGGCAGAGACAAATGTGAAGCTCTGTCTCCTCGGCCCCTACGCCAAAAGGCACCTCGAAACTCAGAGGAGAACATCAAAGAGTGGGGTTATCAGAACGTGATAAGAACCTCAGGCCAACAGGGGACACATGTACATCAGTAATAAAGAGAAAAGAGAAATATTCTGTGGTTTTTTTGAGGACATCTATCCCAGACCCAGCCCTCATCGTGACCAGTGACAGAGTTTGATGGAGACTAGAATGGTCATGTCCCTGTCACTCTTCCACAGAGTCACAGCCTAACTCTGTATTCTCCAGGACCTAGGCCTGCATTTACAGATACAGCAGCCCACTAGCCAAATGTGACTTTCAAAAAGGCAATTAAAATTTAAAATTCTCTTACTCGGTCTCATTATTTACCTTTTAAGGGCTTAAAAGCCACATGTGAGTAGTGGCTGTTCTATTGGACAACACAGATTCAAAACGTTTCTATCACAGAAAGTTATTCTGCTGGATAACAACACTTTAGAGTTTTAAAAAAATCCTCCTTCCCCTTGTCATCCATCCCCAACATTTTCAAAATACTTATAGTACTCAGATAATGTTATTTATTTTTAGGCTACTTTCTAGGGAAGAGGTGACATATGTGGAGGTCTGGGCCTAATTACCTCAGATTCTGAAAAGAGCTCAGTTTTCAGTTATCCAGATCTGGCCCGTTGGGTCACAAACGAGTGTATGAGAACCTACTTTCCCTGGTTCTGGGCTGTTTTTGGTACTATCCGTTCCCTAATCCTGGTGGCTGAGAGAAAAGGCTTATCTTGGTCAGTGACACGTGAGATATGGGTTTCCCAAACTGAGATCTGGTTTCAGGAGTTTGCTCTTTTACAGGCTTCTAATTTTTCACAATGTCTTTGCTTAATTCTCTTGCCTATGAATTTAGGTCTATCCTACTCTAAAGACAAATCATATGCAGAAGGAATGTGAGAAGTCCTGGCCCAACATGGTCAAATGTAGGGGCCTGCTGCTAGTTTCCTGTCCTCTGTCCCAATATCCCTGCCTATGATCAAGCTGTGTTCTGCCCTTGTTCTGCTCCCTAACAGCATAAGTTACTGAAAGCAATTTCCTGCCCTTAATTATTTCCCATTGCCCTGCCCTAGCCTAGTTTGGAATTTCCTCTGGCTGATAATTCTACACTAGAGTACATACAACTGTAAAATTCCAGCGTTTATCCTGCCATAACTCTTGCATGTCTGAGGTGGACATCACTAGTATGCCTGTCTTTCTCAAAGTCAGATGTCTATTCTTGGATCACACCACCTATATGTTCCTGTCCTAACAACCCACTAATTCCCAGCACTTGGGAGGCAGAGGCAGGAGGATCACTGTAAGTTCCAGACCAACCTGGTCTACAAAATAAGCTCAAGGCCAGCCTGAACTGCATAGGGACACCCTGCCTCAAAAAGACAAAAACCAAACAAAAACAATCCACTAGTTCCAAGAAGAACCTTCTGATCAGCCAGGAAGCCCCTTCCCAAAACGTGCAAGATGAAGCTCTTACACAAATGCCTTTCTAAGACCTAAGATACAGTCTCCCCATCCCTAAAATGCAACTCAGAGTTTCATGAGATAATGCTCTTAGATCTAAGCAACTAGGCCTCCTCTACTCACACAGGGCCCCTGTTTCTCCTCAGGCTCTAGGATGTGTCCATCCTCATTACTCCGATTCCAAGGAACGTTTCTGAAGGACTGACAAAATGTTAAATAATACACCGCTACAGAAACTACAACTTCCATCAGGCGCTACTTCGGCGGAACAGGAAAGGCTTGGGGGCGTGGCTCCCGTAGCGTGGGGAAGGAACTACAACTCCCAGGGTAGCGCGGGATCCCAGTCCAGTAAAAGGAGAGCCAGAACTCTCCCTGGAGGAGGGACATTCCTGGAACCACCTCTACAACCTCCAGAAAAGGGTGTGGTCGAAATTGAAGGGCGTGGGCATGTGGGCATGAGGAGGAAGTTACCTGTTGAATTTCCCTGTCCTTTCCCTTCCCGACCTTTGTAGTTATTCTAAGGAGAAAACCATTGAACAATAATACTCCTCCAAAAACAGGTAAGAGGAGGCAGACAGGGGCGTGATTACTGCATCCCGTGGGAGAGGCCCCACAACTACTTTTAACCTGCGAAGTCCAGTGACCCGGCTCACGGGGCGGAGACTTGCATTTGCGAAAAGGCAAGGGCGAGGGAGACACTGTATTTGTTCATTTTGAAGGACCCCCCCCCCCAGAATCTGCACACCCATTTGGGGGGCTTGCTTTGCCACCGAAGGTGGGAAGAACCGGCAGCAAAACAAGGCTGTCTGGGCTGTCTCCCGAGAGAGTTTTGCCTAGCCAAACACTAGAGTACCATGGCTTCCGCCGTCTGGGGGAGTGTCCCTTGGTGGGGCCCGCCGCCGCCAGCCCCAGCCCGGCCGCTCACGGACCTCGACTTCTGCTCTGGGGCGCAGTTGCAGGAACTGACCCAGCTAATTCAGGAACTCGGGGTGCAAGAGAGCTGGAATGACGGGCCGCAGCCAGGAGCAGACCTCCTCCGGGCAAAGGACTTCGTCTTCTCGTTGCTTGGTAAGTGACCCTTCCTCACTGTAGGAACTCGCAGTTCTCAGCGTTGTGATTCCGCACCCCAACTTTGGACGCTACCCTCACGATCACTTCTTTTCCCTTAGGTCTAGTTCACCGCCAAGACCCCCGTTTTCCTTCTCAAGCAGAGCTTTTGCTACTTCGTGGAGGGGTTCGCGAGGGCTCCCTGGATCTGGGGCATGCACCCTTGGGTCCCTACGCCCGCGGACCTCATTACGACGCCGGTTTCACTCTTCTAGTCCCAGTATTTTCACTGGAAGGCACTGGGTCGGAGCTGCAACTGGACCGAGAATCCTGTTATGCATGGCTCCGCCTCCCAGAGCTGGTTCTCGGAACCTCCCTACACGAAGCATGGCAGGATTGCCTAGGACCCCCAGTCCCAGGAGGATGTGATTTGATTCACCAGACTGAGAACGAGGGAAGCCCTAAGGACAAGCAAAGTTCGGTGGTCCAGCCGAGCAGTTACATCACGGAGTCTGATCCGAGCATAGTTTTGGAAAAATCACCTAGTGACCTTTCAGGGCCTGAATCGTCTCAGCATGACGTCACCCACTTTGGCTCTTCTGAACCAATGCAAGAAGTGAGTACTGGCATCGTCGAGGCAACCGTCGATGGTCTAGAAGGTCTAGTTCCACAGGCCTCCGAGGTTCGGGAGGCGTGGCCCACGTTGTGTCCAGCCCAGGTGGCCGCCTGGTTTTTTGCTACTCTGGCTACAGTTGCCGAGTCTCTCATCCCTGTCCCGGGAGCTCCGCGCCTGGTGCACGCAGCACGCCACGCGGGCTTCACCACGATTCTCCTAGCAACGCCGGGGCCCCCGCGGCGCCTACTGCTCTTCGACTTGATCCCAGTGGTGTCCGTGGCAGGCTGGCCAGAAGGAGCTCGCAGCCACTCATGGGCAGGGCCGCTGGCCTCAGAGTCAGCCTCCTTCTACCTGGTACCAGGCGGTGGCACCAAGCAGCAGGAGGCCTCCGGCTGGCAGCTCTGCTTCGCCCGCCAGGAGCTGGCGCTCAAGACACGCATCCCGGCGCCGCTGCTGCAGGCGCACGCGGCTGCCCAGGCTCTACTGCGCCCACTGGTGGCCGGGACGCGGACCGCGGCGCCCTACCTTCTGCGAACGCTGCTGTACTGGGCTTGCGAGCGGCTGCCAGCGCTTTACCTGGCACGACCAGAAAACGCCGGCGCCTGCTGCCTCGGGCTGCTGGATGAGCTGGGCCGCGTGCTCGAGGCCGGGACACTGCCTCACTATTTTCTGAGTGGTCGGAAGCTCCATGCGGGGGAAGGTTCCGCTTCCCTCCTGGGGGCGTTGGTTGAGCTCCGCGGGGACCCTGCCCGTGCTCTGCGTGCAGCGGTGGAGGAAGCCAAGGTTGCCCGCAAGGGGGGTGGCTTGGCAGGCGTGGGGGGCGGGGCCCATTAAATACTCTACTACCCTCGTGGAAAGCGTTTCTCTTGACGTGCGCAGCCCTGAGGAGGACTACTGGCCCCTTACATGGGAGACGGACTGTGTGCCCTGGACCCAAGTCTTTTGGAAGGCCTCCAGGCATGTCCTCCCCTTCCCCTGCCGGCGTTGATAGTCCCATTCTCCAAATCTGGCCAGTACCCCTTCTACCCTGGTGCATCCTCCAGCAACTACCTCTCCCCAGTTCTTTTGATCTTTTTTCCTTTGGAGCCAGTGGAGATGGAAGGAATGTACTTGCTGACTAGATGGGCAAAGGAGACTAGAGACTGTTCAGTTTGGCACATAAAAGCAGAGATATTAAGGACGCTGGAATTCGCCCCAGGCTGGCTCTTACCACCCCCAGCCCCCATCTCTCCAGTTCTGCCCACTTTGATCATCCAGTCCTGCCCTTCCTTCCTTCCCAGCCACCCTCTGCTTCCTCCCGCCATCCACCATTCCATCTGAAGTCCAAACTCTTCCCCAGTGAGGGTTCCTTCGCTCTCCTCTTAACCCTGAGATGTGCGGCCTGACCTCCGTTCCGCCTGCTCCTGGGACAGGCACCCTCCCTGCCTCTAAGGAACCCCAGGATTCCGCCTGTCCATCCTAACTCCCCCTTTTCAAGCGTCTCCGCCCCCTGCCCCGCCCCCAGCTCTTCCAGGAGGGTGAGCTGCTGCTGTCGCCGCCGCCACCACCTCAGCTTCCCACAGCCGCCGCCACCGCCGCTGCCGCTGCCGCCGCTGCCACTCTGCCTAGTCCGGCCGCCAGGCCCTGTGCTGACTTCGGGACCCAGAGACACGCCTCACACCGTGGGGGTCCGGGACGCCTAGCCGGGTGCCTGGGGAAGCTCGGCTTGCAGGGGACAGGGAGGGAGGAGCCTGGAACCAGAGCCAACGCCACCCTTCGCCCGGATCAACAGGACGGGACAGGTTGAGGGGCGTCAGGGAAAGGAAAGGGGGTGCTATAGGCAGTCGCCGGAGGCTAGGATGCCCTGTCTCAGGAAGCTCTGATGCGCTGACTTGTTTGGGGCCTGTTCACATCAGGGGACTGGTGACAACGTGGGTGCACTCCTCTTTTGGGGGGCTGGTTAGATTGAAGGGTGTGGGATCTATACAGCACTAGCTGTCCCTGAAGAAATTAGGGGGCAACCAGGAAGAGAAAAACAATATAAAAAAGACCCAAACCAAAAACGAATGCTTTTTATTTTTATTTCCTCCAACCACCTGGCGTATCCACTAGAAAGGGTGGATTTGGAGGTGACTTAAGAAGAGTGGGGGGTGACCAGTGAGGAAAGGGCCTCAGCAGCTGGAACACTATGCTACTGTAAATGAGAGTGAGGGTGAAAAAGGCGTCCAGCTAGATCTGGGAACCTCTTCTCATTGAACCTGGACAGCTCTGGTACTGATACATGTTTTAGGGGGATTTCAGTGAAAAGTGGGTGATCCTCTTCATTTAGAAGATAGTAAAGGAAAAACCACCAAGGTTGGGTTCCTCTTTGACATTGAACAGTAGCCCAGGAGTGGGGTGAACTAATATTCCCCAAACAGAGGACCCGCTTTTAAATTACAAAGGTGGATTTGGTAAGAGTGTGGGCCCCAAAATAGGGTGGAAAGATGTCTGTCCGGGAATGTTAGAACCACATCCTAGAGATTTTGGAGATCCTGGCTCTGGGATTAAAAAAGGTAGGGACAGAGACGAGAGAGGAGGGAAGGGGTGGTTTAGTAGGGGACAAAACTCGAGGGTGAGGTCAGCTGAGGAGTACAGGGCTGCTGGATTCGGTGGAGCTAGTCCAGGGCCCAGAGGTGAGAGCTGGCAGCTTTTGGGGGTACCTGGGGGAGTCTGAGACTTATCCTCAGGTCCTGTGGGTGGGGCAGTGAGTTAGGGCCCGAACGTCAAGAGCATGCCTTGGTGAGAGGGCTCCTCTGGAGAAGCCCAGCGCGCCCCAGGCGCCTGCTGGTTTGGGGGTGTCTCCTCCCAGGGCGCCATGGCGGCGCTGGCCAGTAGCCTTATCCGGCAGAAGCGGGAGGTCCGCGAGCCCGGGGGCAGCCGACCGGTGTCGGCACAGCGGCGCGTATGTCCTCGCGGCACCAAGTCCCTTTGCCAGAAGCAGCTCCTCATTCTGCTCTCCAAGGTGCGACTGTGCGGGGGGCGGCCCGCGCGGCCGGACCGCGGCCTGGGTGAGTGCGGCTGGGGCGGGGTCCCCGGGCTAGAAGTCGGCCTGGGAAGGTTGAGGCCAAGGACTCTGAAGCGTGGAGCCTGGCAGGGGTTGGGGGGCCCGACAGTGGGAGGGGTGGGCCAGAATGACACGTCTACCAGACCGTGCCTCAGTTTCCCACCTCTTTTTTCCCTCATGCTGAATCTCCTTTCGAGGGCAAGGGGAAGGCTTGGGGGGCTAAACCGGCGTGCAGCTCCCGTCCGCCCCCCTTGGACACGCGGTCCGCACCCCCACCGTCCTCCGCCTACGTGCCGGTTCTCGCGATCCTTTCAATCCCGAGCGGAGGGGCCTGGGGGTTCCGGACGCCTGGGTCACCCCGAGGTTTCTGCGGCTCCGGGCGCCCCGCCCCCGCCCTGGTGCTCCCGCTTCTCCACGCCTCGGCTGGGTTCCTCCTGGCCAAGCTCGCCTGGCGCGGAGCCAGTATCCTCGGCTCTCCCTCGGGTGTCCTTGCAGCCACCTCACCAGCCAGCCCCTCTGTGTGCCCTGTTCCTGTGACCTGATCTTCTAGAAGGGAGCTGGGTACCCCTTCCCAGTGCCTCCGCGCGACTCCGAAATCGGGTCCCAAAGGCTAAGGAGACCCCGTGTCTGGAGGAACTTAGACACAGTTGGGGCTGGAGCCCTGCACAGACTTGGGGGGTCGTACCACCTACAAGGGGGGACAAGAAAGCCAGCAGAGAGCAAGCGGCGGGGAGGAGACTTGAGTGCTAGCTTGCGGTCCGGTCCCCGTCCAAGTACGACAGGCAGGAATCCCTCTGGCCCCACTCCAGCTGGCGCCCCGGTCCCCTCGGGGTAGCCCCTCACGCCCTCCTCCCCTGCAGCCGGCGGCCAGTGGTACGGTCCGCAGCCCACCCTCGGAGTGGGACCCGCTGCACGTGACTCAGCCCGGCTCGCCGCTCCTCGCGCCCCTCCCCCTTCCTTGATCTAACCCCAGGCTGGTTACCTGGTCAAGACCAGAGGTGGAGCCTCAGCGAAAACTGGGCCCCCGTAAGTCAGAAGGCACGTAGACAGACAGACAAGACAGACAGACAGATGGGTCAGTGTCAGACAGGCCGGCGCTGGGCCAAAGCAAGGCCCGAGCCAAGCGAGCGGCAGCCGCAGCAGCAGGTGCTGAGTCAGCGTCAGGCCCAGTCCCACTCCCATTCCTCAGGGGGAGTCCCCTCCCCGTGGTCCCTTGCCACCTCCCTGCACCCCGTTCACAGACTCGTGCCCCTGGGCGCCCCGCGTGTCTTTCTCTGTCCGCCGCCTTTTAATGTGTGTCTCCCCTTCCCCCTCCCTCTCCCCTCCCCCTTCTGGTTGAGCTGTAGAGTAGGAATTAAGCCATTTAAATAAATTTCAATAAATTAAACCGAAAGCTGGTGATTAGAGGAAACAGAAGGAGCCCAAACCCCAACTTTGCCAAGAGTCAAAGAGAAGTGGGAGAGAGCTTGTTTCAAGGTTAAGAGGATTGGGGCCCTGGGGTGTACTTCCTTCCCCCACTCTGGTTGTTTCCTGTGATCCCGCCAAGTGTATGAATGTTTCTGGGAACAGAGATGTCATTTTCAAAGATGAATGTCTCTCTTTTCAGAGCCTCAGCTAAAAGGCATCGTCACCAAACTGTTCTGCCGCCAGGGCTTCTACCTCCAGGCGAATCCCGACGGAAGCATCCAGGGCACCCCAGAGGACACAAGCTCCTTCAGTGAGAGGGGGTGGCAGCCGCTGGGTGGGAAGGGGAGAGATGGGGATGGGAGACGTGAATCCTATTCCCTCTTCAGGTTCTGCTGCTTTCAGTCTGCCTCCTGGGCCCCCAAGGGAAACGGTGGAACTGGGGTGGGGAGCTCGGATGGGGTGAGGTTCTTAGGTGGCGGTGTCTCCTCTTTCCTCCCTCAGCCCACTTCAACCTGATCCCTGTGGGGCTCCGTGTGGTCACCATCCAGAGTGCCAAGCTGGGTCACTACATGGCAATGAATGCTGAGGGGCTGCTCTACTGCTCGGTGAGACCATGAGGCTGAGTGGCCTGGGTACTGGGCCCCCTCTAGCAGACCACCTCCCTCGCTACAGGCATCTTGTATCCAGGACTCCCTGCCCACCACTGGCCACCTAAGAGCTCCTCCTCGAGGGTTTATGTAATACCTACCCCTTGTACAACCTCCCAGTTACCCCTGGGCTCTTTGGATGTCCAACATTTTCAGCCTTCTAGAATCCCCACCTGTCATCCTGCCTCCTCCAGACTTATGATTGTTCCCTTCGCCAGAGTCATTCAGGAGAGTAATGGTGAGATGTTGGGAGTGGAGAGAAAAGTCTAGTTCAGAGCCCTCAGGGGCGATCAGGCTCCTCCTTGTTCTCCCTTTGCTCTGAGAGCCTCCAGGGACTCAAATGTTGCTCTCACCCTCCCTCAAAACGCACAGACTTAACAAAAATGCACAGATTATATCCTCTTCTTCCCGAGGGCTTCCTTCCGCCAGTGATGTGGCTTTCTCTGTCTGTGAGTGTGCCTTTTTGGATCTTTCTCTCCTCAGCCACATTTCACAGCCGAATGTCGCTTTAAGGAGTGTGTTTTTGAGAATTACTACGTCCTGTATGCCTCTGCTCTCTACCGCCAGCGTCGTTCTGGCCGGGCCTGGTACCTAGGCCTGGACAAGGAGGGCCAGGTCATGAAGGGAAACCGAGTCAAGAAGACCAAGGCAGCTGCCCACTTTGTGCCCAAGCTCCTGGAGGGTGGGTATGGACAAAAGAAAGGTGGGCTGTGTGGGAGGGTACTGACCCTGACGTGGACAGTTAGTGGCATAAAGCCCAGGCTCTGAGTGTTAAGAGGAGGTTGTTACCATAGAACAGGACAGGACGGTGCTGGCCTTTTGGAGGTGTGGAAGGTTCTCCTCCTTTGGCTTGGAGTTCTCAGGGGGCGTGTGTAGGGGAAGGGAGCCCCCTCAGAGCCCTGCTTTTGCCCGAGTCTCTCTGTGCCTAACTCCCTGCTCCTCTCTCTCTTTCTCCTTCACAGTGGCCATGTACCGGGAACCTTCTCTGCACAGTGTCCCTGAGACCTCTCCTTCCAGTCCGCCTGCTCCCTGACATATAGTCCTGGACTCCTAGTGAGCCAGCCACCACCTCGGCCCTTTTTCTAGCCCTGCGCGTGGCCCTGCTCTCACCCTTGCTGCCACACATGCCTTGAGCAGCTGGGTCACCAGGTGCTCTACCTTGAGGGAGCCTAGGGGCTGGCTGGGACTTCCAGGGCTTCTGGGACTTTTAGACCCTTGGATCAGAGAGGGGATCAGAAAGGGTGATACCTGAAGGTGGTTCTGGCTGATCACTTCTTTTTTTCCACACACCCCTCCCCAAAGCCTGTCCTGAGATGGAACTTGGGGTTCCATAACTGACAGAGGTAGGACAAACACTCTAACCTCCCACCCAGCCACTTTCTGGAGCCCTGTGCCTCTTCTCATTGTCACTGAGCCATAGATTTATAGGTCCACTGGAGCTCAGGATCAGTTTTCTTCTTTCCCTGGGCTTCCTTCTGCCTTGGTCTGGTCAGGTTCTGAAACACCAAAAACCCACTGGGGCCACTTCTTTACTAGGGATCTCTGCTGGACTGAAGGCATGCTGCCAGGCTGTGTTTTAGATTCAGTAAGCTTCTGTCCATGACCCAGGTGGATCCCTGGCTCCTAAGCAGAGAGAAGCCGGATAACAGCCCTGTGTGGTGGTCAGCCTGGTCCTGAACCGAGACAAGTCTGACTACCACCAATTTAACATTCTTATCCCAGAGACCCCCAACTCCAAAGCACGGTGTTCTATATTGTTATGGAGCCATGCTTCCTCCTGAATCTCAGCCCTAGGACATAGACCATGATCCTCAGCCCTGCTCTGTAGGATGGATCTGGGGCCTATATAGCCATATTATTGCTCTAGAGTAAGTTCTAGACCCACACTCTCATTTTCTCTAGTGATACTTATGAAGAATGAGCTCTGGAAAGGATCTAGTTCTGATTCACAAAGAACCAATTAGTTCTAGTTGAATCAAGAATTAACTTTCAGTTTTCCTAGGTAGTTTTCTAAAAATCTTATTCTTCTGTAGAGAATGCTAGCCTTATTTTTAAATGCAATTTCTAACTGCTGCAACCTACCTGTGGTCCTGCCGGAAAAAATCTGGAGGACAGAAAAATTGTAGCAGGATCTCTGGCTCATGGTAGGGAAGCTGGGGTGGGGGAAAGCATGGCGTGATGGAACCTGTGTCTGGGTTGGGGGGACATGACCACTTAGCTACCTCAGCAGGAATTCCTTCCAGGTCCCCTTTAAAGCTGAGGTCTTTATGACAAGTGTGACCAGAACAAAAGGGTGAATAGGACACATCCCTGAGACTCTCCCCAAATGAGAATACCCTAATTCAGCAATAAGTCCCACCCCTCACCCTACAGGCCAGGCAGGAGGGTGAGAGCCTCTTGAGCTCAAAACCTCATACATCCCCAGAGCTTCTAACTCAACAGAACTTGCTTTACCTTACAGTTTATAACCTCAGTTGTGTTTTCAGTACCACAAAAGGGCCAGACTAGATTCTTCTGAAAAATACAGTAAGACCTCCTAGCAGGCCTGAAAACCACTAGTGAAGCAGAAAGCAGACGAGTCCCCCAGCCCTGGGTGGGGTAGACTGAGGAGGCCCTAAGGGAGAGGCTAGTGCCCAGAGGCAGGTCATTTTTCCTTAGGCTCTTTTACTTCTGGCTTGTTGCAAAGGGGTAGCTGCGCGCCTCACCTACACAAACCCGCTCAGGCTTCACCTAGTTCCTGGCTCTGCTCCCAGATGACCGGTTCTCCACTTCATGCTTTCTCAATTAAAGACGATTTGTACAACTGAAGGATTTGTCTGTCAGCTGTGCTTGGCGGGCGACGCAGTTGCCGGGGGCGGGACCAAGTCGCGGAGGCGGGGCGGGTGGGCTGGCGGCTGCCCCCCAGACAACAGGTGCACATTCCCGGGCGCCTTGTCACTTCCCCTGTGCTGGTGGCCCCGGAGTCTCTCGGAGTGAACTCACCGAGCCACGCGGCCAAGCTATGGCCCCAGGGGCACTACTGCTGCTTCTGGGGGTCCTGGGGGCGCTGATCGCCCCAGGTAAGTCAGTTCAGGCCCCGCAGAGGAGTACTAGGGCGACAGTTGAGGCAGGCATCTGGGCTTCACTTAATGCTCTCCTCCCACAGGCGCCCAAGGCTCGGAGGCGGAGGGCAGACTCCGCGAGAAACTTTTCTCGGGCTATGATAGCTCGGTGCGGCCGGCGCGGGAGGTGGGAGACCGCGTCAGGGTTGGCATTGGGCTCAGCCTGGCACAGCTCATCAGCCTGGTGAGGGCGCTCGCCGGGGTTGAGTTCAGGCAGCAGGACCGCCGGAGGCGGGGCTTTACGCGGGGCGGGGCGGGGCCGACCGTCAGTCAGGTTGAGGGCGGGGCCTGGCGCAAGGTCGGGTTGAGTGTTGGGCCAGCCTCTAGCGGTGATTGGATAGAAGTCAAACCAATGAAAGAGTCCGTGGGCGTGGCCCGCAGCGGATCCAGGTGGGATGATGCCCCTGCCTGGGGACAGGTCCTGAAATGGAACTGGGCCGAGAGACGGACCTTTAGGTAGGGACGCACAAATTCTGATAGGGTGGGGCGGGATCTGGTGCCCAACCAGTAAATAAATAGCGGCTAAGGGAGATGCGGAGTTGGAGGGATTATGAGCTGTGGGCGGGGTGCAAGGCAGTAGGCCGGACAGTAGCCAGGCTGGCACCTAAATAGACTGAGAACGTCGACAGCAGGAAGGCTTGTTGCCTAGGTAGATCGGGCAGGGACTTAAACTGATGCACCTTCTAGAAGTAGGGGCTTGGACCCAGATAGTGGGCCTCAGGCAAAGGGGGTGGGGTCTTCAGAGAGCGGCAGAGCTGCAGAGCCCCTCATTTCTCGCCATCTCACTCTGCCTTTACTCTTTAAACTTTTCCCTTTTAGAACGAGAAGGATGAAGAAATGAGCACTAAGGTGTACTTAGACCTGGTATGGAGAACCGGTGGGGTGGGGGAAGGGCATCCCTCCGCCTTTACCGTCTCCTTGAATAAACCAGGCCCGGTAACTTATTCCTGTCATTCCAGCCCTCTGGGAAGTTGAGGCAGGAGGGTCAAAAATTTGAGCTCAGACGGATTTAGCCAGACTCTGTCTAAACAAGCAGATAGATAGACAGATAGATTTTAAAAAACCGAGGGATGTAGGTCAGGCCAAAGGTCCTGGGTTCAATCTCCAGTATGGGGTGGAGGGGGGTATTTTTTTTTTTTAAGACAAGGTGTCTCTGGGGCTGGGGATTTAGCTCAGCGGCATAAGCACCTGCCTTGCAAGCAGGCGGTTGTGATTTTGTTCCCCAGTACCGGAAAAAAAAAAAAAAAAAGAAAAAAGAAAAAAAGAAAGAAAGCAAGAGAGAAAGAAAGAAAAAAGACAAGGTGTCTCTATAGAGTTTAGGCTGGCCTTCCGCCCACCATGTAGTCCAGGCTGGCCTTGAACTCACGGCAGTCCACCTGCCTCAGCCTTGTGAATGCTGAGATTACAGCCATGTGTTACCACGCTTGGCGAGGAGGGATATTTCTTCAATAAGGGTCTCGGAAAACATGTTTATAATTGAAACAGAAGCTTCAGGCAACAATATGGGAGTTGCTCTACATGCATTTTTCATTGTAATTTTTTGAAATTGGTTAGGGGCCACTAATTAGACTCACCGTCCACGAAAGTGGAGGATTGCAGTTTGAAAACCCGTTAGAGGCTAGCTAGTGCAACTCTCCATGTTTACAGACTATACAATTGGGGCCCAGGAAGGGGGCGGGCGTGAGATGAATTAGTTGATGTGGATCCCAGCAAGCAAAAAGGCGCCTTGACGCCAGAGCCCATGCCTGTGCTGGCCCCGTCTCTTGCACTCCTTTCCAGGGCCTTGAGCCTCTGGGCCTCTACTTCCGTAGGAATGGACAGACTACAGGCTGAGCTGGGACCCCGCGGAGCACGAGGGCATCGATGCGCTGCGCATCACCGCGGAATCTGTGTGGCTCCCTGACGTAGTGCTACTCAACAAGTAGGATCTTTACTACGATGAGAGGGTGGGCCCTGAGGGCGTGGTTGCGAGGGGGCCTGGTGTGGGTGGGGCGGAGCCTTCGGAGGAATAGTCCTGATCTCAGGTGTGAGGACCCCTTCCCTGCAGCAATGATGGAAATTTTGACGTGGCTCTGGACATTAACGTCGTGGTGTCTTCTGATGGCTCCGTGCGCTGGCAGCCCCCAGGTCTCTATCGAAGCAGCTGCAGCATCCAGGTTCTTGAGCCCCTCCCTGAGAAGCTCAAGGAGCTTAGAAACCCTCTCTCTCCTACACACCTTGATTCCTGGGCGACTCCCATCCCGCCCCCACCATTCCTTGTGGCCTCATTTCTCGTTTGTCCGCCTTGTTTTCTTTTCCCTTAAGTGTCCAATTCTCGGTATATTTTCTTTAACATTCATTCTTCCTCATGACCCTTCTCCATTTCCCAAATGGCTTCCCTTGATAACCCTCCTCTAGTTCCTCCATGACCAACCTGCCCTGTGGCCTTCCTGGTGCTCTCTGTCTCCTTGATGCCCCTTAACCTGTGATCTCCCTGATGACTCCCAAACTCCCTCAGCCTTGGCCTGTTCTCTGGCAACTGGCATGACTACCTTCTCTGTCCAGGTCACTTATTTCCCCTTCGACTGGCAGAACTGCACCATGGTGTTCAGTTCCTACAGCTATGACAGCTCAGAGGTCAGCCTGCATACAGGCCTAGGTCCTGACAGGCAGGATCGGCAGGAAATCTATATTCATGAAGGAACCTTCATTGGTGAGTGGACATGGCTTCCACAGCCGCAGGCTTTCTGATTTCCAGTTTCTAAGGAGGTAAATAGACTCTGCCTGTGCTGCCCAGTCTAAGCCTGTGGAGTCAGCAAGACAGGGATGACTGTCAACTTTCTGGACATGGAAATGAGACTTGACGAAGTTTACTAGACATGGACTGCCCAGCAGAGTGGGACAGAGCTGGTATTGATGAGGATAGCTTGCACACAGGTGTCCACTTCTTCTTTCCCGCCAGAAAATGGCCAGTGGGAGATTATCCATAAGCCTTCTCGACTAATCCAGCCCTCAGCAGACCCCAAGGGAGGCAGGGAAGGACAGCGTCAGGAAGTCACCTTCTACCTCATCATCCGCCGAAAGCCTCTCTTCTACCTGGTCAACGTCATTGCCCCATGCATCCTCATCACCCTCCTGGCCATCTTTGTCTTCTACCTGCCACCAGATGCAGGTAAGGAGGAGGGGACCCCAGCCCTCTCACTGTTAGCTCAGCTTTTTTTTTTTTTTTTTTTGTCTTTTTGAGACAGGGTCTCGCTATGTAGTTCAGGTTGGCCTTGAGCTCACTTTGTAGCCCAGGCTGGTCTCGAACTCGCAACCATCTTTCTACCTCAGCCTCTGGAGTGCTGGGATTACAGGCATGAGCCACCTCGCCCAGCTTCAGCTTTTTTTTTTTGAACTCTTGACCTTGTGCTTGCCAGCCGGGTGCTTATACCACTGTGCTAAATCCTCAGCCCCTCTCTTTAGCCTTAATCTAGATGCTTTGCCTGCCAACCTAAGCAATTACGAATTGGACTTCGACAAGCCTGTGTCTTCTCTCCCACCAGTTACAGCTAACTTGAGGCTCTACATCTCCTCTGCTTCTGGCTTCCTTCACCTAGCGGTGTCAGAGGAGTTTCCCCCCCTCAGCCATGGAATTTCTACTACTCTGACCAACAAATTCCAGGCTGAGCCAGCTCCCCTTCTCCCACTCCTTAGATAGCCTTTAGCACCTTAACTTTCTGTTTCCGTGGGAAATAATTGTCAACACTTCTCCAGGAGGAATTATAATGCAGTAACAGAGGAACCATGGGCAAATTCCTTAATTTTTGTGTATATCAGTTTCCTGATCTGGGAATGGAGATAATTACCATCTCTACTATATATAGCATTATTTTGAGGATTGACTGAATTAATAAATCTATCCTTGGTACCCAGTAAGTTCTATATAAGTGTGTTTTTGTTTTATACTAGTTTTTGTTTTTTACTATTTTTGAGCACTTGCTATAAGTAATATAATTAATGTTACATGTATTAACTCAATTCTAAACTTTATAATAACTGTTCAAGTGTTAATTTTTTATTCCCATTTTATAACATAAAATAAAGAGACAGAGAGTATAAATTATTTGTTTGGCATCACACAGAAAGTGGCGGTGTTATTATTCTGACTCTGGTCAGTGCCAAACTGATTCAGGACCTGATATTCCTAACTCTGTTTTTTTGTTTTATTTTACATTATGTGTGTGTGTGTGTGTGTGTGTGTGTGTGTGTGTGTGTGTGTGTTTGAGAAAGGGTTTCATTATGTATTTCAGGCTGGCTTTGAACTCATTATGTGGTCCAGGCTGGCCTCAAACTTAGTCAATCCTCCTGCCTCAGCCTCTGAAGTGCTGGGATTACAGGCATGGCCACCAATCCTGGTTTGTATTCTGTTTCATTTCTTGATCCTTCAAATTATTTTACTAGCCAGGTGTGGTGGTACATGGCTCTCGTACTAGCAATTGGAAGACCACAACTGGGTGCTGCTGCAAGCTGGAGGCCAGTAAGACCCCGTCTCAAAAAACTAAACAACAACAAAAATTGTTGTATTATTCCTGAAATAGCTACGGAAGTCGGGTAGTCCCTTCATTTGTGCAACTGTATTTGTTGAATTGTACTATAATGTGTTAGGCACTGATAATACATCAGTGAATTAAAACAAAATCCCTGATCTCTAGGAGTTTACATTCTCGTTGAGAATAACTTAATAAA